AATACCTTCTCAAAAATTCACAGCATGTGCTATAAGTGTGTATGTAGTTACTTGTAATAAATTCGTTGCGGCAATAAACTTGACCTCTACTTTCCACGAATTGAGTTTTATAAATGGGAAAAAGTCATTGGCGTTTAAGTAATTGACTCTGAACGCGATATAAGTATAATAGATATGTGTAAGTATGTTGATGAATTTTTTATATGTACATTTTATGGCGTGCATATGTTGGTGGGCAATCACTTTGTAATACAACTTTGTTTAATTGGCTATAAATCACGCTACCAATTTGTAAAACCAAAATTACAAAAAAAAAAAAACAAACAAATAATAAACGTTAATAATTCATATGTCTAACATATAATAAAAAGAGACTAAAAATTTTACAGATATTACGCAGCCTAAGTGCATCGGCTGTTTCGGTTGAGTTTAGTGCAACAGAGTTGCCAACACTACAACAAGCTGAGGCTATATTTTTATTTTTTTTCTGACTCGGCCTACTGGTTACATCTACGTAAGCCTTTTTTTCGTTTTTTATTTGTTTCTGTTTTCGATTTGTTAACGCGCCACTAAAATTTAATTGCTTGGAAGACCCTAAGCCGCTCGTACAATAAATAAAAACATTGTCGATGGCTGTGCGATGACATTAAGCACTTAAACCTAATGACTTCATAGGCGCGCAGACAAACAAATATATATAAACGGTACTATATGCGCACTCTTACATATGGTGGGTATGTAAAAAAAAATGGTTCTATCGTGTCGCACATGCCACTCATGCCACACATTGCGACCCAACCACAACTAGCAGCATGAAAATTGAATTGAGTGCATATGAAAGGCTGGTGGGTTGTATCAGTGAATCACAACACTAGACTTCACTACATTTATTTACTTGTATTTAGTTGCTGACATATAAAGCCGCAAGTCAATGCTCATGCGACCATTTGTAGCATCCTCAAATACAAACATACGTACATATTTATTTAAGTGTTTATATTTTTAGTAGCGTGTAAATTAGTTAAATTGCCTTTTGTGGACGCAGTAAAGCTTATCTCGCCTCTCGATGCATTTCAGCGTTAAATTGAGCATACCGGGTGATTTAGTTTCAACACATACAAGTCGGTTAAAGCAGCTGATTTGCTAATCTATAAACAAAACGATTTGGGTTATACTTAAAGATTTGGATTTTTTGTGCAAAATGCGTAATTTTCCTTATCTTTCTATAATTCGTGTAACTAATTGTCTTCGCTAAAGCTATAATACCTCTTACATTTAAAAAAAGTGTCCACATACTTGATTTTGATCGTTCAGTTTGTATGACAGCTATATTCTATAATGATCCGATATCGACGGTTCTGACAAATGAGCAGATTCATGTAGTGAAAAAGAAGCGGGTAAAATTTCAGATCGATATCTCAAAAACTGAGAGACTAGTCCCGTATATATACAGATGTATATACAGATGTAATAAATTTTCTTTCTGAGTGTTACAAGCTAAAAGACCCTATTCAGTGTATAAAAAATGACCGTTAATCATATCAGCGGAGAAACGAGCTCAAACAATGCCACTAACTTTGTCATCACTCAAAGCTCTCTTGAGATCTTTAAAAAAGTGTTTATTATATCGTAAAGTCTCTCTGGAAAAGTATTCTATTGACTGACTCATATCACAACTGTGTGTTTCCCAGATGCTAAAATTAACGGTTTTCTATACATTTTTGTAGTCTGAATTTTAATACCGAAAAATTATAAAAATAATCTCTAGACTGGATCCACTGCAAAAGAAAATTAGTTAGTTAAGGCATTGCATGATCGAAGTATCATTTACCGTTGAGTGTTGTTATTCAAGCTCTTCAATTATTATTAACATACGTAATCTTGTTTCGCCGTACTCGGACTTTTTGCTAGTTCCCGATCAATATCAAAAAAGTAATCAATTAAGAACTAAATTTATCTGGTAAAATAACTGCCCTTAAAACCTATAAGCCCTTCGAAGATGACTTAATATTTGTAAGATCCTTTGTTTGTCGGGTCTCCAGATTAGTAGCATTCTGAATGGCTATGGTATATGTTCGAAGCAGAGGCTGATTAGGCTGTCAATTTTTTGTACAGAAGGTACCATGTATAAAATAGTTTTGTTATTTGAATGAGGATTAGCAAGAGAATAGCTGAAGGTGAAAATGTGACTTCGTCAAATTAGTCAACTGCGAATATTTAGATTGTTGGGGTGGGACCACAAAGTTTTCTTCACTATATGGCATCTTCACTATGTGGACCATATGTAAATATTTTCCGACCAAGAAAATTGTTACAATTCTACTTCAAAGATATTAAAAACCATAGAGCTGCTTACTGGAAGAATTCTTAAATAATCAACACTAAAGAAAATTGTATATATATATATATATATAGTGTTGATGAAGAGTTAAACTACTAGAATTGAAAGACTGCTGTCATGTTGGTGACATTGTCAGTGACTGTTCTGTGACAATATACTTGTAGTACATTATAGAAAGGTATAGTGATAAAAATGTTCTCTATAAATATTGCTGAATTACCAATATTCGTCACCTATGTATTTGTGTATCAGAGATCTTGCCGAAAAGTGAAAATGAGTGTTCAAATGTTTAAAAGATTTCTTGTAAAAAAAATTTTCACAAAAAACAATATAGAACAAAAAACGTAATAAATACCTATGTAATTATAATGTAAATCGGCCGTAGAATGCACTAAGTTTTTCTTAGGCTCTATCAATATTTTCCATATATATGATATATATTATATATATGTATATATTATATATCATAGACCCTTGCATATGCGTATTGAGTATAAGCTAATGTCAATAAAATAAATTGTACATAGTAGACTTGCATCCGCCGGTGGAATTAAGTGACTCAGTAATTCTATCACATTGTCGTTTTGTTAATCAACAACAAAGCGATTATAAATTCAACGATTTATTGTACGTTGAAAGGCAGCGAATGTACTTTGAATGCACATATTTATGAACTCAGAACAAACGTTCTATCGATGTATATAATGGTATATGGATAAGTTAATGCATGAAAGCTTATAAAAGAGATAATATTTATAAAAATCAATTGAGTATAATGCAAATTCCAGAACCGTTTGTTGTAGCAATTGAAACAGCTGCTGACGTAGAGAAACAAATCGCAAGAGAACGACGTGAGGAAATGTGTATATATATGGTATATGTATAATACTTTACTATAAAAATCTGTTATAGCTCGGTAAAGGTCCAGCATATTTGCATTTCTTCGATATAATATTGTAAATATACTTTTAGTCATACATATGTAAATATGTAGAAAATGGATATAGATAAGTAATTATTATTATTACTTATACAATCAGCATTGAATTTAGTGCTAAACTTATTTTGTAATCTAATAAAAAAAAATTTTCTACTCAGTGGCAACATACTGCGAGAGCATAAAAACCTATAATACCCTACCCATATGCATTCTTATAGTAACTGTATGTATAACGTAACTGGCCAGCGGTTTGCAACCAATGGAAAACGTTTTGCTAGTTCTTTCTAGCCATTTTATTTATTATAAACATTATTTGCGATGAGTTAAGGTTAATTAATAAGGTAACAAGAAAAAACGTTAACTTCGGCTGCATTGAAGCTATAATACCCTTCATAGGTGCATTTTTTAAAGCATAAAGTGGTATAAAAATATTTTTGTCTTGATTTTGATCATCCAGTTCATATGGCAGCTACATGCTATAGAATTCCGCTCTGAACAATTTCTTCGGAGATTGTGGTGTTCGTGAAGATACCTCGCCAAATAAAAAAGTATTCCATACAAGGACTTGAGTTCATTCTATCAATTTGTATGACAGCCATAAGTTAAAATCGTCCAAACTGAAGAGTTTCCTCGGAGATTTTTGCTAAAGAAAATAATCCATATCAAATTGCCTAAAGATATCTCTTCAAATCAAAAAGCTTTCCATACAAGCACTTGATTCCGATCGTAAATTGTATATGGCAGCTATACTTGTATGCTACAATTGTCCGCTAATGAGAAGCTTTTTGGTGAGAAAGGGAAGTGTGCAAAATTTCTGATCGATATCTCCAAATCTGAGGGACTATTTCGCATATATATAGACAAACTGACAGACAGACAGACATGAGTAAATCGACACAGTTCGTCACACTGATCAATTATATATATATTTTGTGGGGTCTCCGACGTTTCCTTTTGGTTGTTACCAACTTCGTGGCTAATTTAATATACCCTGTTCAGGGTATAAATGAAGATCTTTACCTTGATTTTTATCGGTCAGTTTGTATGACAGCTATATGCTTTAGTGATTCGATTTAGATTTTGTGAAATATAGTACCACTTGAAAACTAAGTCTCACAGTAAGTGAGGGCATATTATCAAAGCCTTACTGAGCGTTACAAAAATTGGCAAAACTGTTCTTACATATACATAATGATTTTTCACGCAACCAGAGTTGCATTTGTTTGAAAACTTTTTTCGTGGAATTTTAGTATGAAATTACATATATTATATAATTAAACCAAAAAAGGCAATGGTAAAAATATATTTATTTTATAACTAAGGAATTTATCAAAACTGTTTAACACTTTTTTTTTCTAGAATATTAAATAGCCATTTGGAAAACGTTTTAGTGAGTATTCTGAATGATTTTGCATGGAATTCTCTAATATAAAAGATTTTCAAACAATTTCTCAAATTTCTGATGACCTAACAGTCTCTATAAGTTTATAGTGAAATCATTTATCCTGCAAGTTCTTGAACCTCAAGAGGTTCACTGGGATGCTTACGAACCCGATTTCACTTCTTCACACTCTAACATACTATTCTGCGTGGGTATATCACACTACCGTATTAGAAATGACCAAACAGTTATTTTATAACATATATTCCTGCGAATATAAAACAATTAAAGCTCAATTGAAAAATTGCTGAGCTTTGCATTTAAATTTGCATATTTACCGTATTTCTCATCCACAGCCGCATATGGCGGTGTCGCATCACCTGACGTGGTGGCCGTCTTGCCGTCCCCTTCACCAAACTCGAAGCCGGTAATGCTGCCACCCCCACCACCGCCACTGTTATACAAATCGCTATCCAAACCGCTGGCGGGCGCAATATTAGCAAATGACAGCGTAGTGGGTGGCACAAGCGGTTGGTCCTGCTGCTCTACGGAAGCGGGCGGGGTGGGCGCAGCTACTGGAAGCTGATAATCAGTCTCAACGGTTTCGCTATCATCATCGGCTACAGCGGCGAGCACATTCTTGGTGTCCATGCCGATGCCATTCACCGCATAAGCATTCACATCCAAAACATTGCTGGCAGTCGTTGTGCTGCCGTCGTCGTAGGCAAGTTTGCTGTCAGCAACACTAGCTTTTGGCACTGAATTAGGTGTTGTTGGTGCTGGTGACGGTTCTGCTGTTGGTAGCGAAGCGGTAGGTGCGGTAGTGAATGGTGATGGTGATGAAAGTTCTGGGTCGATGACGACGCCTGTAGCGGCAGCGCCGCGATGTTCGGCAATAATGGCGGCGAAGAGCAACAAATTGAGTAGTAGGCGTATGCGTGCAGCATAACGTGGGCGTGGCATGTTGAAATTGTTAATTGCTGGCGGGATCGCTGGCGGTTTGGTGTGCATCTAATGTGTTGTTCGTTGGGTGGGCGCGCTTCAATTTGTGCCTTCGTTGCAGGTTATGACGGTTGCTATAGTGTGGGTGTGTGATCGGTGCTGGCGTGTTTCGAATGCGCACACTGCTCGTTGTAAGCACTCGTTGGATTTGTCGCGATTTTAATAGCGTATCATTTTGCACTTAAAATTCACTTGAGTTTGATTTCTTGCAAACCTTTTCTATATTTTACTGTGTTTATATGTAATTACATATATGTATATTTGTAAATGTTTACTGCCTGCTTTTTGCTTGCAACTGTAATGTTGATAAACACAAATCCAAATTATACACAATATTTAAAAAAAATAGTAAAGAAAACGCGGAATGACAACCGGAAGCGTTTGTTATTTTATATCGCATCAGCGCCAGTATAAGAAGAAAAAGACGAAGTTAAGCAAAAAAGGTAGACGAAAATACCGCGCATTCGCGACACTTTGTCACAGCGCTTTATATGCGCGTTGTAATAAGTTTTTCTTGTTGCGCGTTCACGTGCGCGGCGACGCGACGCTTCGGCGAGTGTGATGCGTAACCACCAGCAGCGCGAAAGTTAAGTTCGCTTGCTCGTGCACATACAAACATACATATGAATACTTAAGCTATCTGCGCTTGTGTTAGTTGATCGTTAATGCGAGCGCGACTGCACACTTGCCGCAACGCGGCGTTGCGCCACGACGCGCGCGCTGCAAGATCGTCTCATTGGTGTTTGCCGGCAGCGCGCGTGACTCACTTGGTTAATTGCCCTTTTTACGAGCGTCTCACTGCGGTTAAATTCACTACAGTTCCAGTCGCTTTGATAATTTCTGCTTTGTATTGCGGTATATGTATGTATGTATGTATATGCACAATGATTTTTATATTTCCTCACTTCTTATATGCGTGCTTTTATTGGCGCTTTTGATGCTGTTTTCTACCGCTGCAGTTTATTATTAGTTATTTTTATTTAGCAATTTTTCTCTTTCATTATATAATATATAAAGTTTTTATTTAGTTTTTTTGTGTTCGTTTGGGTTCAATGGAATTGAGGATCGCGGATATTTGCAAATGGGGTCTCATATGCATTTTTAATATATATTTTTGTGGTTAGGTAAAAAGTTGTGCTCGTCGCAAGAACGAAATGCGTATGCCCCCGCTGCATAAATGTGCATGACGATTTCGAGCATAACATAATTTTACAGAAAAACTTAAATGTAGTAAAAAGCAAAAGATCGGACAGAACCATGTGCGTGGCAGATGTGCTTTTGATAGGCGTGTGTTCGCGTAGTATGCCTGCTGCTATTTTTGGCTTACTGCTTTATTATGTATGTGCATACTTCAGTTATTTTCGACCGGTCTAAAGGCATTGCGGTAGAAATGTATTTATGTTCGAATATGTGATTCGAATATTTGGTGTAAGCTTTTAAGTTGTAATAATGCCTTATAAATTTAATGCCTCGTTTCCACTTTGCCATTTCACAACTAGGAAAACTTGATAGCAGTTAATGGAAATATGTCCTAATATCTTGAAAACTTCACTCACTAATATTTTTGATATAAGGCATGAACATAATGCCCGGTTCACACTAGGCCATTTCATATTACAATATTAATGTGCATGAAGATTTCCCAATAAACCGTTTTTATTTCTAAGAAATACATTTAATTATGTTTCAGTGTAATAACTAAGATCGCTTTAAATAAATTTTTTCATTCTGAGTTTTTAAATATAATCTCCACTTCTTGTTAAGAAAAAGGAGAATACAAATCTTTAATTGACAAATGTTCAGAATGTTCAGTATATGCGAGTAAAAGTAAGAGCAAAAAATGCAGACTAATTTACTCTTGGACACTTGAAGACCCCTTGCTAAACTTTCATTGCATAATCATAATTCTGTGGAACCTTATACACTTTTGGAGAAGTTCTCTCTCACGACAAATATTCCACTTTCCCATGACACACGACCTATCATATAATTCTAACGATAAAATCCCAATAGTATCCAATATGCGAAAACTGGATTTGAAAACTAAGCTGAATGCGAGCACTTTAGTTTTGAAAGCATATCCAAAGGATTTTTAAATATCTAATGAAAATCATTTGGTATCTCAAAAATGTTGCAGAAAATTAGAGCACCGACGGCTTAATACTCTTGGAAGATGGAGCCACCTCAATTAACAAAGTAATTAATTTAATTTAAATTTGTACCATTGTAGAGCAATACTTTATAAATATTTTGCCTAAAGAGATAACAGTATACCCTTTGCGAAGCTCTCAGCTTTTTCAATCTAGTGGTTTAGTTAGGCAAAGAAAGAGTTTAGCAGGAGTTCGATATTATTGTTTGTAATAAAGAAAAAAATTAATAGAAGATTTCGTTCATTATTTTTTTGCTCGAAAGTTTTAACAGATTAATCCACACCTCTTATAAAAACATAAGTCAGTTTACAGATTTAATTGCTTTTTCGCGCCAAATATAATATAATATATACAAATGTGTATACATAAGAGCATAAGTGATTTGCCGGCCTTCTTCATTTAATAGGCATATAAAGATGAATTAGTTACACAGTTGTTTAGCAGTGGCATAACTGATAGGATATGAGTCGAATTTTTTAATTCCACAAAATAAATGGAGATACATTCTGCTTAAATACGGATGTATATACATAGATATATTCATAGTACAAACAATTGAAAAATTTGTAATTGTACACGAATGATGTTTATTAGCGGTACACAATTGTACTTCTTGAACTTATTATATTTCAAACATTATGTAAATTAACATATGTTAACATAGTAAATAAGAAGTTAAAGCAGCTTAGTAATAATAACCAAGGAATGAAACACTTTTGCTTCCTTTTTCGCTAGAATTGTAATCATTACCTGACACATCACACGTTAAAGTGATTAACGCTAAGGCAAACCAGTTACGAAAGCTTGTTTGTATTATTACTTTGAACATTCGTTGTTTTTATTTTCATTACAAACTAGTTGCTCTTTACATGCTTTATAATAAGCGCAAGCGCAAGTGTCTTCTTTGCATATGAAATGTTCATAAAATGAACTTATATAAGTCAAACCTGTTTTAAATTTGTTTTAATTGTCCATGGAACGTAAATCACACGCTAAACAATAAAAGGTTTCTTTATTACGCGTTGCGTGGATTCGAAATGGCACTTTAAACAATAAAACAAAAAGCTATTTAAATGAGCATTTAAAATTTATTGAATGATATTAGATTTAGTGTAAATATAATATGTACACAAATATATAATATATTCTGATAATATTTGCTTCATTGACTTGAGGGATAACTTAGATTTGGCAGTTTGCGATGACGGACAGCTGTCAAAAACAGTTGATTTATTTGCAAACAAAATTCATTTCATGCATTATGACCGTTAATAAGCAATTTAAATTTTATATAAATAATGTGTATTAAATATATAATATGTACATACATATGTATTAACGCCTTATATAATATAAATTTAAGGTACCTATGGTGTTTCCTAAAGTGATAGCTGTCAAACCAGCTGTCAAAGTAAACTGATTCGCTTGACACATAGACTCAGTTTAATTTTGCAAATTATTAGGTAAAAAATGACAGCGGAACAACATTTAAAAATGGTAAAATTATATCTTAACATTGACGGTCTATGTGCCAAATAGTTAATAGTTAGGCACGTTAAGCCATCGACTATATCGAACGACTTTTTGATGATTGAATAATATCAGGAGATGGACTTGGTAGTTCACCACTAAAGTTATGTAATTTGATGCCGTTAGCATATTCACTGTGGCGTACTACAAGTCAAGGGATCAAATTTTAGTGTTGAGGACTGTGATTTGCTATAGCAGAGATGGGTGAATACTCTGTTTTTTATGACAAAATTTGTAGGTATTCGATTCTCTTTGGAGTACTATTTGGCGTCTTCTTCCGAGGGAATGATTTCGTTGCATGAAGTAGTCTAGTTTTTAGAGATCTTCGCTAGACTTATTGATTGACTAGTAATACTGGTATCACAATCCTTAACAGTAAATAAATTTTTTGAATTGATATGTTCTAGTAAGCCAAAGTAAAATGCAAGAACGTAGTAAAACGAACCCAATAATTTGTGGAAATATGTAGGTCGAAAGGTCAGCAAATATTTAAGCAAAAAAAAATTGGAAAAGTGGATTATATCGAGTTAAGGACGAAATGTAATTTTGTGTTGGAAAGATTTCATATGGTAAGCCGCTTAAATATATTATAAATATTAATAAATAATATAGTTTTCTTTAGAGCCTCCTTATAGCAGAAATTGCGGCGGCATATTGCAACAGAGAATCGTCTAGCTATGAATTATTAGTTGTCTTCGATTCGCCAAGCGTTACTCTCCAACGAATCTAACAAACTACACCAGACGCTCAAACAAGCAGGCAAGTGGAGAACCCTTTTTATTATTAATATGGATCGATTTTTACAATAGGTTTTTTTGCCAAATAAATGATTTTCAATCCAACGAGTACAAATTAATGGTGTTCAAATTTCATTTGTCACGTACCGATAGAGGGAAAGAAGGGAGACATCTCACAATATGCAAAAATTATACCAGTTTAATAAAATAAATTCAATTTAGCCACACTTTACCCCTCCAGCAATGATTATAAGCACAACAATTCACAAACCTTTGTCATGTGACAGAATTTGCGCGACGAATCCCCAAACAAAGTAAGTGCCACCACAGTTGGGCAATGATAGAAGTATGAACGGTAGGTCAAAAGTGACAGTCGATTGATAAAAAGCAAATTGTGTAAATTAAATTTAAACGACAACAAAATGAAATTAGTCGACTTGACATGTGAATTTTAGTGATGATTTTGATGTTTGAAAATGTCATTTGTTTTGTTGTTGCTTGCATTTATGCTATTATATTAATTAATAATAACAAAGTGACTTGCTGTTTTGTCGTTCATGGAAATTGCATTAAAAGAACGAGCGCAATGTGTATGTTTTGAATTATTTCAATGAAAAGTGGAATTCGATTGTTTGCAATGGAAAATAACGAGAATAATTGAATAAGCGTAAGTTGAACCGGTTTAAATGGAAATTTAATTGCTAATTTAAATGAAATTCAATTAGTTTTGATAAAAATTAAATTGATTTGAAATTTTTGCTTTATGCGCATAACTAACAGAGAAGTTGACTGCAATGGCGCTTCTTTAAAGCTAACTGTAAATTAATTTTGTTTTGCCTCGATAAACTTATTGCCATCAACTAGTTCACATAGTATTGAGTCTTATGTTTGAATAGGTATGTATTGTATGTATATGATATTATGTATATATACAAATATAAGTATTGTATATTTGTATTGACTCATTGAGAAATTTCAAGCGCATTACCGCAGACGCGTCGATTGATTGTGAACTTCTTTATTGTTTTTGAATTTTGACATTATTTCTTCATTGCTTTCGCCATTCGCTTTGGTTTATTTGCTTTCTTTGCGTTTTGCCTTAATTTACAAATTTTATTTACTTCGCTTTTTTCGCTTTCTACATTCACACATACTCTTACTTCACGCTTTATGGTGTTACATTTGTTTACGAAAGTTGGTGAAAAATATTTATAAGCTTCCGTTTTGTTGTTGTCAAATTTGTTTATGTATTACACATATGAAGCAAAAACATAAGAGAATCTGACAATTTGATTTCATGCCCTCGAATAGTTTTGTTTGATATAGGTTTGTGTATATCATATGTATATACAGTTCATCCATTGTTAATAAATATCTAATTTCACACCTGAATATTTGGCCTATTTATCCAAACTATGCGTGTGTGCTGAGAACTTCAGGAAATATATTTTTTTTAACAAAACTCACTGAATAGTGCATTGGAAGTACTAAATTGAAGATTTGAACTGTATTTCTTTATATAAAAATATAGTCCAATATGAACTAGTACAAACTAGTTTTTAAAATGAAAAATGGATACTAAAAACTTCCGTTTTCTTAAAAACTTGATAAACACTCAAACGCCCATAAGTGACATAACTCGAAAGTGTAAAAATTCTTTGGTGCGTCTAAAAACAATACCGTTCCAGCAAAAAGTAATAGTGATAACAAAGAAGTTGCTATGCCATCTGAAAATAAGTTTGTAAAAGCGGTTTCGTAGACAAACATGATTTCGAATATTTTTAGTTATGATATTTTTGTCTAAATTTAGGCTGATATCTATTTGGAGTACATAATTAACTATATTGATCCATGAGGTATAAACCAATCTAAAAATTTAGACATTTTGTTTCAAAATTCGTGAGTCCACTGGATTAAGCTCGGTACGATTTTTACTGATGAAAAGTCAGCATTAAAAAGTAAAATATATAGCTATCGATTGTACCCTAATTGCAGAGATCTGAGTGGAATATAACTAAAAGAAGGGATACTGCGGACTTGATGTCAATTAAATAAAAATGAATATGAGATAAACGTCGGAAGAATAGAAAAATTTCTCTCTCGTCTGATATTGAATGGACTGGATTGGATCAAATTTCACTGCTGGAAATGTCGGTGGCAATTCGTCTATAACTAATATTGGAGTTTAGTATAATCTACTTATGTAATTCTCCAATTGAATGTCTTGACCGACCATTTCTAATAGACTATTATTATTAAGACCTCACCTTATCTGAAGTTTTTTTTCTAGTAAATTCTGCTCCTACTGATTAAGAAACTCAATTTGGTCCATATGTAATTCTTGAAAGCCCTACTCTTACATAACTTTAAGGTATTTCTACGGCTTAGACCAACTTAATATATGTATGTTTTGCATTACAACTTCTAAAGAAGGGCCACAATCTTGCTGCCGTGAGTCTCTCTCCAATTTAAAAGCGCAAATTTATAATTATATTTTTTTCTTGCAAAACTTTTCGAATTTTCAATGAAATTTCAGGGTAAGTCCTCCAAAACTCTGATTCCCACAAATAGCGAGACTTTTCGCCAAACAATTCATGGTGGTCTTGTGTCTGATGGAAAAGGTCGCCATAGGCAGAAAATATGTCAAAGGTCATGCAACCCGTGAGGAGCTATTGTGCGCACATAAACTCGTGCTCACACATACACTAGCCACCGTGTGTGTGTGGGTATGTGCTTTAGTATAGCTGCTGCAGTGCATTGCCATTAGATTTGCATGCCTATCTCCAGTATCGCAATGCGGAAAATGCGGTCGAACGTGGAAGTAAACCTGCGTGTGAATGTGTGTTTTTTCACTTGTATGTGTTTGTTCGTGATTCTGTGTAGGCTGAGATGTGCAAAAGCAAAAAGGACTCAACAACAAGGATACCGAATTTGGCAGCGAGCGCATACGGAGAGCAGCATTTTGACAGTTGTGCTATAACAAAGAGCCTGACAGCGAGAAAATGTGTGAGTAGTAGTGGCGCGGTGAGAGCAAGAGCGCGCGTGCAAAGTGAAATGTCAGAAAGTAAGGCGTTTGCCCTTTGCAAGCTGACTCAAATTAACTGTTCGAATTCTGCTTTATGATTTGTTGTTGTGCAAATTGTTATTTTTTGCTGCTTGCTTTGCCATTGTTCACTGCAGCTGTTATATTTGCTTCAATTTCGCACACAACAAATATTTTCAATTAATTTTTGTCGAACATTATTAATTTTCTATTTATACATACATATGTACTTGTATATCAAATTTGCAGCGTTTTTTGCTTTATCTGTCGGTCGCCGACACTTAATTGATGTCAAATAATTGACATACTCCACTTTGTATGAGATTTTGCTTTTTATTAAATTCTCGCCTAACCTCAACTGTCATTTATATGCAGCATGTGTATGCGTGTGTGGACTTTGGCGATTAATGTCAATAAACGATTTTCCTAGATACGGATAAAAAAATTATTGTGATAAAAACAAAAAAGAACGGCAGTTATTTATGTATATTTATACATATACACATGGTGTATATATTTTTATAGATTATATGCCAATCAGAAAATGTTGGAGTGGAAAAGATAAACAAAAAAGAAAGCAACAAAGAATATAAGACCGCTAGTATGCCACTAAGAAAAGCTGAAAGAAGAAGAAAATTAAGTTGAAGTAGAGAGATACTAAGCAGAAGACCGACAACAATAAGTAGAAGTAGCGGCAAACGCGTTCTCAAGTTAATGATTAAGCAAAAATAATTGCTTGAAACATTTTGTAAACATAAACCAAGTCCATGCAGCAACAACAATAGCAATAAGTAGACAACTGCTACTACAGTGACTTCACTTGCAGAGCGAATTCAACTTCAAACTCTACGTGTGAGCGCATAAAACATGCTATGCAAGAGATAGAGAGAGATGACAGCAGAGCACGTGCAACGCGCAACGTGCGGCAGCTGCATACGTTAGAGCAAGCTGTATGCGAACTTTAATTACTAGCGACTCTTTTATTGCATTGTGTGTGATTTTTTTCCGGGCTGTAGTATTACTGGTGCCAAACTGGTACTTTTCGTGACCGGAGTGGACAGTTCTTTTTATTGATTTGTTCAAAGGTACACAAAAGCCCACTGAAATTTTCGTGAAGCAGCAGCGACTGATAGGCGATAGCGCCGGGGCAGGGTAGCGCGGTTAGGCTGGCAGGCAATCCGGCACCAGCAGCACAAGAACTTTTATCAACAACAACAATATCATCACTAACAAGGCACATCGCATGGCCAGCCGTCTGCCAATTGCTGGTCACAAACAAACATAAAAAATTAATCGACAACAACAAGGCTATGCGTTGCCTGACTGAATTTTGGTTACCAAGCGCCAATTGGGCGTGCGGTCGCTTTTTTCGTTGCACCAATGCAGTGTGGGCTGCGCGTTGTAGTTGCTATTGGAAATTCATCACATAATAGCACTATTTTATTTACTAACAGTACTTAGTGCGGTTTTTATTCACTTTTTCACTCAATTTAGTAACTTTCTTTGATAACTTTGGCAGTTTGCTGCCACTTTGCTGCTTCACTTTGCCTCACTGGCCGCAGACAGCATCGTAAGCAGCCAACAAAAGCATTCGTATACACACACACACATACACATATTTGTTGAAATATGCATTAATTACCATTTGAATTGACTTTTGTTCCGCTTTACCGTTATTGTTGGTTAGCTAATTTTCGCATGCTCATCTTTTTATTCACATAAATTGTGTGTATTTTAATGAAATTCTTTTCGCCTTTGTCTTCTAATGTGTACACTTTAATGTTTCACACTCATACGCGTACAACAACAGCAATGGCCCAAGCGTTGGTGTAGCGCACAGAAACCTTCTCTTTGTGTGTGTGTGTTCGTGTGTGAGTCTCTCTGTGACAGCTTCCTTAAATTGCTGGTTGCAGGGCGGCTGATTTAGCGTACGAGAAAAAAGTTGACTGTCTGCACCTCCTGCTGCTTGGGTCTCTACACACAGGCCCAACAACAACAATCAACACTAAACTTCACTTTTTACCGTTAATTCACACACTTTTCGCTACTTTTCTGCACTTTATCTTTGATTTAATAAAACATTTGCCTTAATTTTGCATTTTCACATTCATCCAAATTGCGAATTTTCCTCGATTCACTCGAATTTCGTGCCCACAATGCGAAAAACGCTTTTGGGAAGAATTCATCCACGAACTCTATATACACAATCCAGTCCTCCGCTCACAGTTCTTCACTTTACTTTACAATTGTACGAAAAAAAAACAAAAAAAAACCGATTCACTTCTCTTCGCTTCCTCGTTTTCGTATTCTATGTATGCGCTGCGCAGCGTTTATGAGGCACTAAACGAGTTACTCAGCGGCGAGTGTGTGCTGATACACTGTTGAGCGGTGACCGTAGTCCAGCAGTGCGGCGAAAACAACTGTGCGCTTAATTCGCCGCAACCGACAGTTATTTATTTGTTGCTCCAGTGCCACTGCATTGTTTTTGTGTATCTACTGTGTTTCTGACTCTCTCTGTGTATCTCTGTTTGAGCGCGATAAGTGAGAAGTCATCAGCGATAAATTCGCTCTCGCCGTGACTAGTCTAATCGGTTGTGTGTTGAGTTGATAACAAATTTGTCTGTTTACAAACTTAACGAAACGAGGCGAAACGTTTTCACTGTAGCAGCTGTGTTTATTTGGCACACTGTGTTTTCTTTTGCTAAGTTGTTGAGATTTCAATAAGAAATAATATAATATTTTTTTTAGAAATAATAAGGAACTGCTACTTACAATACTTGACTTGTTTCTATTACCTCGAATGGGTTTTGAGGCTAGTTTATAGTTATAACCGTGAAATATCAATATAATTATGGCTATGTTTTGCTTTAAGCTGTGCAAAAATTGATAGGTAATCAAGTAAAAAAAAAAAACATAACTTATAAATATTTTTTTGTAGTCTTACTAACTAATATTTTTTTTAAATTTTATATCGCTATATACATACATATGTACATATATACTAAAATGTGTGAATTATAAGGCAATCTTATTTATGAATATATAAATTATTATTTAATGAAGTACTTTTGGTTCGAAATGAATTGTTTCATAAAATATATATCAAATTACTTCACAAAAACATTCCGAAAAATAATTTTTTATTGCAAAAATACAGATAAATAAAAAAGTATGAATTAAGAGTTTTATAATAAAAAAATTTATCCTTCATTTGAGTTCGTTGTTATGCTCAATTCATTTAAAAATTATATTTTATATGATATTTCAAATAACTGCTACACTCTCTACTTTCATTGCCTATTTTCAATTCAAGATTTTTAATCCAAAAATCGACAATAAAAAATTTACTTTTTAATCCGGATTTAAACATTGGACAATTAATTTTTCTTATCCGAAAATCAGAATTAAAAAACAAAAATTTAATGTTAATCTCAAAATCAGAATTAAAAATTGATAAAAGTGTTTTTTATTTAATACTTAGAGTAACAAATATAAAATTATTTTCCAAATCAAAAAGTGGAAGAAAAATATATATAAATAAAAAGTTTCACATATTTACAATTGAAAAATATTTTTGAAAGTAATTAATTGTGAAAGACACGAAGTATGTAAGTACAATATAACTTCAAATTTAAAAACACAATTAATTTCAAATTATAAATTTGGGATTAATATTTTTTAAAAATGTTTTTCAATTCGCTGTTTACAATTAAACTTTTTTTTTAACTTTTAAACAGATTTTTGGGTTTAAAAATGTATTTTTAATTTTCCAATCCAGTATTGAAAAACAATTGAGATTGAAAATTTTAAAATTATTTTTAATTAAAATTTATAAAATAAAAAAAAATCTTTGAAAATTTAATGCAATTATATTTTTGATGCATTATTAAAAACCCTGCACTTGAATAAGTAATATTTTATGCTATTCTAGATACTCAACCTTCAAAAGTGAGATAAATCTATATAATATAAAGAAAAATTCAGCTAATGGCCTATTTTTGCTTAGAAAGTACTTAGAAGACAACATGCTTCTTATTATCTACAAAATTTCCCTTTTTTTTAATTTGAAAACTGAATTTTGCTTTAATTAAATATAAGATCAATTCAGATAAGAAGGTCAGTGTAGCTGTAAATTAAATACAAATATTTACTTAACTCAGTTAAAAGTCAAATCAATCACTCTTTGCGAAATTGGACGCAAAATTCCGCGAACAAAGATTTCAAAGCGTATGTAATCAGTATGACGGGAATTGGCGTCTCTATAGTTTTTGAGAAATCTAAGTCGCCATGGATCCAATATCCTAAACTCTTTGTGTTTCCAATTGAATCAATGCTACGGAATAATTAAAAATGTTGCGGAAGTTTTATAGCAAGCCTACTTCATCACGAATACAAGTATATGAATGGTCACAAAGTCATCGAAATTTTGCCTTGAAAAAATTAAAGAAATATTGCTTGAAAATCGTAGTATTGGCATCAGAGAGATAGCAGTCGATCACACCATATCTTATGAATAGACTCAATACATTTTTGTGAATGTTTTGGATATTCGTACCAAAAGATCTGAAAGTTTTTCAAAAACGACGTCAAGTAGAGGTCGCCAAAGCGATGCTTGCAAACGTAGCTGCTGATTCTACATTCATAAAATGCATCATTATTATTGATGACACGTGGGTTCGTAAATATGACGTCGAAATTGGCCAATAATCTAGCGAATAGCGGTCCAAAATTGAGAAGATACCGAAAGAACCTCGTCAAAGCCTATCAATAATCAAGGTGAGCTCCTTCCGCAGGGTTAAACGGTAAATAAAATATACTATTTGGTTGTTTTCGTCTAGCATTGTGATTAACTTTTTAGGCCAAACATGTAACGATCGTTCAACCTTCGTTTTTGTCAGATTTGGATTCCTGTGATTTTTTTTTCTGTTTTCTAAACTGAAAAACCGGGTTCGGGCGACGCGCATTGAAGCCATTAACAGGTAATCGCTGAAGGCATTGAAGGCTACCCCAGTCGAGTCTTATAAAAAGTTGCTTGAATATTGTTTTCTCTAATTGCTTAAGCTTCCTATAACTTGTTCATTCCTCCTTGCAGGCTACTACTAATTTCGCTCTGGAGAGGTGATAACAATCCTTTTTGTTATAAAATTGCATTACTATACAAGAGTTTCGCTATTGTTGAAATTCTATATTTTATAAAAAATATTCTTGGCACTTAATTCCAATAAGGCTCATATATATATTTTACATTTTCATGTGAGACTCCATATCTTTGATCGTTTGAAAGTGTGGCTTAAGTCGAGTTTAGAAAAAATCCGGTAATGTGTTGGTAATTTTTATATTCCGAAGCGTTTAGTTGCATGCATAAGTTATGTATTGCAAAGCATTTTGGAAATCTCAACTTTCATCTAGAACCTTTATACAGGAATACCGTTAACTAAGCTAACTCAGAACCAACATGTGTTTAAACCTTCATATGCGACATAAGCTATTTTGGATAACATATGCGCGTGAACACAAATAAAAATTGTTTCGAAAACTAAAGTTCTGCATGTTTCCACGGAATATAATATTATTGCATATTATTGGAGCATTATGCATGGCAGGGGTATTAGGTAATTAATTTGTTATCAACCAACAATCCAATTTTCTTCTTTCTACAAATACTTGGTATATCTGCGCATATAATACAGGTGCATGCGATATAATCGTTTGGCACTATCTTTTATCAATTTATGAGCATGTATAAGTGAGAGTAGTATGTGGAAATAAAATCAAAAATAAAACTGAAAGTATTTAAGCGGTTATTCACGTCACCATTGCACGCAATTTCATTATCATTTCCTCCTGTTTTTTTTACGCTAATGACTTTGTGGAGGAGATTAAAAAAACACAAGTAGGTGCGAGCTAAGCGCGTGAGCAGTCGAAATACATATACTTTCGTTACCTGTACCAAATTGGCGTTTTATGGGAAATTGGCTTTGGTATAGTCCGATTTCGGCCATTTCGAACTTGTACAAAAAGGATAAATTTAGAATTTTGTGAATCGAATTTGGATCTAATTAGCGCAAGTACTTTGTGAGACATGAAATTTCATCAGAAAGTGGGCGGTGTCACAGCCCAATTTTTAAATTTCTTTATTGTTCTTACTAAATTTAGTTAGTTAGTGACCTTAGTATTTAACGGAATCTCTGTATTAAACCTTATAGAAGCCGAGACCACAGCCAATAAAAAAAACTTTTAAAATCACATTTACACCAGTTTTTGCATTCTATGATTAAACTGAATTTCATTGGTATGTGAGTTATAGCAATTTTTATTTATGTGCCGAGAATTGTTTGCTACGAAGTTTGTAACATCCAGAAGGAAACGCCGGATAACCTATCAAAATGTTTATACCTTACTATAAGCGATCAGCGTGACGCGCTGAGCCGATGTAGCCATGTGCTTCTCTCTGTCTGTACGTATATACGCAAGTCAGTTTTTGAGATATCGATCTGAAATTTTGCTCACATCCTTTTCTCTGCAAGGAGTTGACCTTTTGTCATAACCGCTGATATTTAACAATTATAGGATATAGCCGTCATGAAAAGTCAAAGTCAAGTCCATGTATGAAGGAATTTCTTTTTTGAACGAAATTTTGCATAGATTATTCTCCGAAGCAACGGTAAAAACTCCAAAAAATTGTTGTGATGGTACCACTATAGCATATAGCTGCCATATAGACTAACCGAAGCAAATTTTATTTTTATTTTTATTTTTGTTTATAAGAAGCCATATTACCATAACCACCTTAAACCAGCATAAAATACTTTCGGAATTTATTTTGAATTTTCTAAAAACTATTTTTAACTACTCCATACAATATTAGTTGTGCTTTTAAGTTTGAAAATATACTGAAGCACTTCCTTCTTGGTAAGACTGTTTAGATAGTCTTCACTAAACTTATACACATGCTTGTTAATGTGTGCGTGTATAATTGTACTATTAGCGCCATATTGGTTATTAACATGAAAGCCAACATACATGCAAACATAAATATATACACAAATGGAAGAATGGAGGTACATTATGTTGTTGCAGTTTAACAAAGTCACTTTAGCGCATTTATTAGCTTTTAATGGTGAGACAGTGTGCAGCTGGTGAATTAGAGTACTGATGATGACCAGACATGACAAAGTCTAACAAGTGTCTTTTATTGGGTATTGGGTGCTATTTAGTAGTTATCCACATAAACTAAGAGCATATTTAATTATTATATTCAAATGGAGCAAATGCACTTTGTGACCTGTCAGCGGTGGAGTCGATTCAAAATATGTACGTTAGTTGAGTATTGTGTGTACGCACTGCAGTTGATTTGCTGATGAAGTCTTTTGCGACAATTAAATTCACCAGCTAATGGTTTATTATTGATTGTGTGAGCGAGTGGAGCACAGTTAGGAGCGTTGCCCCCAGCACGACATATAATGTAATATTAATGACAGCCTGAGTAAGGACAGTATATGTGATTTCATAATCGAAAAATTAAGCTTACAGTATTAAAAATCTTTGCTATAATCCGATCGGTCCTCAAATGTAGTGTTCTGTCTTTAAAATCTGTATTTAATAATCTTAATCAGGTTGCTGGTCAATTTGATATTCGATTATGTGTATTGAAAATGTTGCAAAAGTGTTTTGGACAGATAGTGCAAGTCGTGAAGTTATCGAAAACGTATCTCATGCGACGTTAATGATGATAACGTCGAAAAAGTTAAAGAAACATTGGTTGAAAAGCATTGTGTTGCGATCATAGAGATAGCAGAGGACCTGACAATCTATTATGGATCGACTCAAGACATTTTGTTTAATATTTTGGGTATAAAGTGTGTAAACGCCAGACTCGTACCAACCTGAAATTTTTGCAAAAACG